GATTTTACGGTTATCGTGCTTTTTCCTAAACATTTAGACAATCTTTGATTACTATTGATTCGCCGGCGATATGAATGTTGAATACTTTTTTTTAAAATTGTTAACTCCGCAGAAACGCACAGCGACTTAAAACTTTCATATCATATAACCGACCGCCTCCTGGCGGCCGGTAAAAAAAAAACTTTCATCGCGCACTATCCTCAAAATAATCTCTCTCTCTCTCTCTCTCTTCCATAAATTCAAATTTCAGGTATATTTTTTGTATCATTTTGGTTAATGTGAAAGCGTAAATAATTATGTGAATACTTTAAATAATGTTTATATGCTATAGGAGTGTGAAAACTAAAATTCATGCCAATGATAGAAAAAAACTTGGTCTTCCGTCCGATTTTTCGATAAGATGAGATATGATTTTGACAATGATTTTTGTTAAAACATTACATATTAAGACTTCTCTCATGTGATTTAATTTTTTGATTAATATAACATTTAAAAAAGCTATAAATGAAAGTTTCTTGGCTCTTCTGGGCCCTTAATTTAAGGGGTCACACCATTTACCTTCATATCAACTAATAAATTTCCATATTTGAAAGATTTTATTTTTGTTCAACAACAATTAAGAAATTTCTTTTCGTTGTGTAGAATAGAAATATATAGGGGCCAGCCCTTCAAGTCCTTAATGGGGCCGTTTTGAGAAATTTGAATTGTTGTATATTGTTTAGAATACGATTCTGAACATCTTTTATTCAATACTACTTATCAAAAAATTTCTCCCTTTGGAGGTATAAAGAATCAAAAGATTTTGCATTTTGGCCCCTGGTGGCTCCTAATTACGTAACATAAAAATGTATGATCATAATTTAACAATATGGTGTTGCAAATTGTTAAGATGAATATTTTTTCTTCAGTTATTTATTACAATGAAGAGATATCGATAAAGGACTTTTGGCCCTTCTGAGACCCTAATTTGAGAGGTCAGCCCCTTTTCCTTGGTATTATTTAAAAGGTTTTAACATTCTGCACAATTTCTCTTCAATATGTTTTAACAAATTATGAACAGGTAAGACGATATGAAACGTGAAAAGTCAAATTTTGTGAGATGTTTCTGAAACATTTTTTGAGCCCTATCGAGCTAGAAAACTTTGAACACCCATATGCAACTCAGCAAACCATCCTTTACTCTCACTGAAAATCTCAACTCAATATCTTAAGTCGTTTAGGAGGAGTTACCGGGACAAAACGACCCTCTAAAAATCAGAAAATCGTCCATATCTCACGACCAGAAGTGACGTCTTCAATATAAAAAAAATTATCAATAAGTTCAGATCAATATCTATCAGATCTGAAAGTTTCGTGAAAATCGACTGAGCCGTTTCCGAGAACTCGCGTGCACACAAATCGGTAAGAAAAAAATAATAGGGAAAAAGAAACCGAACGAAAACAATAATGTCTTCCGTTGGAAACGGAAGACCTTAATAATACAACAATTATCTAATCTGAAAAAAAAAACAAAGGACATGGGTATGTTATGTTATGTTTTTATTATCAGCTCTATGTAACAAGTAAATAACTTTACATTATATTGGAAAATGTTGTTGAAGACGACTACTTAAATAATTTGGCTTAATGAGCGTCTGATTTAATCACTTTTTTTTCAACCAAAAAAATAAAAGACAAGAATAATGTCAGGAATAAATATATTAATTTTTCAGTCCTTTAGTGATGGCGTCCGGCGGTGGCGTCATTGACCAGTACCACGTGTTGAACCATTGAGGTAACAGAGAGACGGGGTAAAAATGATAGATACAGTCAGGTCCACATCTATAACGTTTCTTTGGCATCACAGAAAACAGCGCGTGGTAAATGGCGGTGGTCACCAGGGACAGATCCTTACACTGAACATTTGGAATACCATCCATCGATTCCTTTGCTACAAAACAAGAGTAATACTAAGACTCATTTTAGTAAATTTTATTCATAAAAAATAGTCTTCACCATAGTCTTACTTTCTTTGAACTTACTTTTATTTAACCATTGCTTTCCATAGAACTCCTGAACTTCTTCGTCAGCAGCTTCGTATGCTCTCTGTAGTGTAGCTTTCATCTCGTTTATATCTACGATTATGCTTGTTTTGAATGCCCCTGGCTGGATAGTATGAATCGTCACACCAACGTCATACAGTTCCCTTCTGAAAAGTACAGGTTTAAAACATCTGTAAAAATTATTTTTAATGAAAATAAAGTAAAATTCTTTCAAAGTATTATTTCATCTTTGAGAATGTTCTTAATGAATTATAGTATACAGTGGGACAAAGGAATTCAAGTTTAAAAGTCCATTTAAACAATTCAAATTAGGAGCAGAGCAAACACGGACCTCCAAAACATGAGAAGTGGGATTAGGTGCCATGGAGGTCACACCCACCGTGTGCTGCTTGCCAAGGTCGGAAAATAAAGGGAAAATCCATCTACAATTCAGTGTTTTAATTGCCTAAAATAGTATGAAAACCCTTAACTTTCGACTTAATGATATAATGTATTTGCTGACAAAGTCATTGTTTCATAGAACCATAGAACTTACTCCATGCTTATTTCAGAATAAATAGACTAAATGATACACACTAAATAGGAAATATCAAGTTAGATGTGAAGATTTATCATTTATTTGCAATACTGTGTGGCTAGACTTTTTTTTCTTTTTTGTTTTAGACTCTAATACTTCAAACTTCTCCTCTCTTATAATTTCATTTTTTCCCTGTTTAAGATTATCAAGTTTATGCAAAATTGTTAGTATTTGTTTGTTGTTTAACGTCCCTTTCGAGAATTTTTCACTCATATGGAGACGTCACCACTTCCCCGTAGAGGGCTACAAATGTTGTCGTATACTCGACACTTTGGACCATTGAGCAGTGATTAATATTTTTCTGTGCCAGCACCTAATGCGACACGGGACTTCGGCTTATAACAGGTCTCATCCGAAAGACCGGTCTCCACATCCCATAATGGGATTCAAATCGGCGACGCAAAGATCAACTCCTTACTTCGCTACTCTATACAGCAGACGCTCTAAACACTGAGCCAAGCAGCGAAAAGTAAGAATTAGTACCATGTAAATCAGTAGATCCTTACCTTAGGCATTCTGCCATACTTTCAACTCCAACTTTACTGATGACGTAAGGAACCCGACAGGCCTGTTCCCGGAAAACACACTCGCTAGTGACATATACAAGTCTACCTTTCTCTTTTCTCACGAGAGGCAAAAATGATCTTGTCATGTTTATGGATCCAAACAGGTTTACCGATAAACATTTTTCTACAGCTTCAGGTGAATGAAACTCCAAAGGTGCGTGCAAAACCTGTAGACCAGCATTATTGACTAGCCCCCATAAACCTAAAGATGCAAGAATAAAATATATATTCCGGCAATCAAACACAAGAAAATCAAATGATCATCAGAAATTGCTATATTCAATCCTACAAAATGACTTTATTACTGATATTAGCAAATATGACCTATCACTGGGTAGTACTTTACCTGACTGTTTTAATAGCAGTTGTTAGACTATTGTTTTTGCACTAAATTTTAATACTGAATGTTCTGTTTACTTGATCAATATAAAGGGTTCGGGGCGAGTATTAAAGTCCAATAGGGGATGCTTACCTAGGCACATGATCCCAAGTCAGGAAATTCCAGAGCTCTGTGTTATGCTCTGTTCTTCGATTTGTATTGTTTAAAGTTTTTCTGAGATTGATCACTAACTTATTTGATTTACTAAATTCTCACCTGAAGATTCTGGCAAATGACGTTTGACAAATTCCACAGCATTACGGATGCTGATCTGATCCGTGACGTCAAGTTGTAAAACACGTAGTCTTGATGACGTATGTTTCTTCAGTTCTGTTCCACCCTTCTCGGTTAGACATGCTGCAAACACTGGTACACCCTGCTTATCCAGTAAACGGGCTAAAGCATTTCCAAAGCCAGAATCACATCCCGTTATGAGGACGTAGCGATTATTAATGCCATCAATAGATGTTTTTCCTTTGTGATACTCATAAATTTTGTATAAAATATACAAAAAGATTATGAATAGAAATAATAGGCAGCACATGTTCGTATTTGTATCAGTTAAGATAGAAAACTCAGATAATGGTCAGGTTGATAACTAGGCCATATCTTCGGAAGGTATTGCGCTTCTGACCCAACCACGACAAACAGGTGTCATTTGTTCCTTAAATAGAGGCGACACTAGTATGTTGCAGATATTTCTGATGAGTTGGCCCCGTGTCACTCATAAGAGTAAAATCATTTTGCAAGTGATAATATACAATCAATGTTCAGTTGTTAACCTGTCGTATCATTAAAAAGAAACTACAGGTGAACTTCGCCTAAAGGTTGATAAACATTGCAGTTCTAACAGGAAATAAAATGTGCAGTGTAACTGTCGACTTAAAATGAAACGGACAATAACCATTCCGAATGTACTGTAACATTCCTATTGTATTGTACATGTGTATTTGCTTGCTTTAAATTCAATATTATTTTTTAAATACGATTTATTTACCTTTCACGAAAAAGAATCAGAAAGTTACTAAGTTACTACATACCAGGCACAACTATAACTATGCAAAGTATTTGCAGAAAAGTTTTCTCTAGGCGAGAATAAAGTACCATTGAAGTGGTGTTATGGGAAAGTAGGAACGACAATAGCTAGTTAAGGAGGACTGCGGACAGCACCAAGGACATGGCAGAAGGAAGACAGTAGAGTGTCAAATGACGATTAAGAAGTTCAAGAAAAGAAACAAATAGGGAGAAAATTAAGAAGGCAAAATGAATAGCACTAAATGGGGAGAAGCATGAAGATATAGACACACTTCTTGAAACGATATACTTCAGAACCAGCAAAGAAGAAATTTTAAAAAAAATTTAAAGAAGTGATATACATGATAGAAGAGACCGATTCGGAGTGGACAACACAGAAACATCATGGGAGAGAAAATTGAACCTTCCTCGGTTTGTTTCTGGTGTGGTTGAGATGAGGATATCTACTGGAAACCAGTGGAATGTTTATTAAACAGAAAAAAAAATTTAAAGGAAGTAAATTCGGAATAGAAGAAGGATCTCCATATATTTCATCAAACGCTCAGGGAGAATAACAGATTAGAGATTGTACTTCCATGTAACTTTTTATTTTATATAGTGTAACTGACTTCAGAACTTTAATCAACATTAATCAACATATAACTTCCGGATAGGAATTCAGACCAAATGTACTCGTATGTGAAATGTAGAGATACATCATTAAACATTATGGCTCATTACACTTTTAAACATTGATTTGTTTTATCAAATCCGTTCGTGTTCAAGATGGTCAGTTTAAAGTATACCCTTGCTTAAGAAAAAGAGATACACAGAAAAAGGCAAGTTGATGATCGAAGCTTGCTCAACTTTGAATTTTTAGAAATTCATTAGAAATTTATTTAAACACATCAGAAAAAGCTTTAACCAAAATAAATTTCTTTAGGTTAATATCTATGTACATTCTCAATAATTAAAAGAAAAGGAGCCGAGACCCCGGATGGATTTTACATGTAATTCGTACCTTGGCTGGAAAAGTCTCATGCCAGTTTACTAGTACTTGTTATGTGTGATGAAGATAATTGTTAGTGGATTTCCAGGTCTTTACTCTCTGAAGTGTTTCTTGATTGTATAAAATAATACCCCATGACTTATATCTTACACAGTTCTACTTATCAATGACCATTGGTTTATACCTGTACTTTAACAAGAAACAGTCATCAAAAGAATTCTCTGATGTAATGTTCAAATTGGATCTCGATGTATGAACTTCTAAAAATTGTTGAAACAACGACAATAAGCAAAAACGTTTCGACAAAATTGACTCATCGCAGGAATAACCATGAATGTTGGTTTTCATAGATATTTTATTATTTTTATAAATTCTTTGTAACTTATGTACATCATACTTTAATACTTAATTAAATGTATCCATATGACACACATTTTAAAATAGGAACTTCAATTATGTGTAACTGCTTCCGGCTGTGGATTCATTGCCCAGTACCAGGTATTAAACCATTCAGGAAGCAAAGAAATGGGATAGAAGTAATATTCACAGATTTTACCACATCGGTATCGTCTCTTCGGCATCACAGAAAACAGGGCGTGACAGATGGCATTTGTCACCGGGGACAAATCCTCGTATTGAATCTTTGGTATTCCTTCAAAAGATTCCTTTACTGTAAAAAAAAATATAAGTATTTCATTTGTCGTCTTTAACTCCCAACTCAGGTAAAGGTAAATTCATTATTTTGGTCTTACTTTTCTGTAACCATTGCTGTCCATAAAATTGCTTGACTTCTTCGTCCACTTCGTCAAACGCCTTCTGTAGAGCAGATTTCATCTCGTTAGGGTCTACGATCCGGGTTTTAAATGGTCCTGGCTGGATTGTGTGTGACGTCACACCAACTTGATACAATTCTCTTCTACAGTGTAAAGTGGTGATTTATAGGAAAACGTTTCTTATTTGTAATAACAAACAAGGGTAGTATTTTCATATCTTTCAATACGCCTATAAAACTTGTTTTCTTTAAGGATGCTATATGCATCATTTGTTTGTAAATTTTTAATAAAATTCTCACACTTCTGTTCACAAGCAAACATACAAGCAGCATTTACAGATCAACATCATCATAAACTGTTAAATCCACTTTATAGTTAAAAATACATTATATAATATATTGCCTTGTTCTAAGAAATATGATCGTCATTTTCATTTTACAAGTACAACTGCATAAGTCATTGTAATTTATAAGTAATTTTGATTTAACATTTAACTGCTTAAGTCATTAAATGTAAAATCGAAATTATGCAGACATTGGATAAGTAAGAATCTGAAAGTCAATACTGCGATGCTGCCAGCATCATAATGTTTCTTCTTTGTTTTTTTTTTTAAGATTTGTTGGAATGGAATCTAGATGTTTGATTTTACTTTCTTTGATTTAAAATTGAATAAAAGGCATGCCAAAGCATAGTAAATGGAACTTTGCCCCTCTCACCTTAGGCATTCTGCAAGAGCTTCGATTCCAAATTTACTGATGACGTAAGGTGCCCGACACGGCCACTCTATAAAAGCACTGTCACTAGATATGTACACAAGTCTACCTTTGGCTTTTCTAAGGAGAGGTAAAAATGACCTTGTAACGTCAATCGAACCAAGTAGGTTGACCTTCAAACATTTTTCTATCGCCTCATGAGACTGAAACTCCAAAGGAGCATGTAAAACCTGTAAACCTGCATTGTTGACGATTCCCCACAAACCTAGAAATATTGAAGTGAGACAGGAATTGAACAAATACAAGAATGAAAGAATAATCGAAGAACATGTATGTAAATTGTTATAGATTTAAAAATGGGGTGAGTTATTTAAAAAATTACATGTATAACCTTTAGAAAACATTATAGCACTTATATATCTTTTAAAAGACTCGAAAAAATCTGAGGTTAACTTTTTGTGGTAAAATAAATCGAAAATAATAATGATGTACGTGTACTAAGGTGGAATACTTTGTGGAGAATTTTCGCATTATCGGAAATAGAACTTATCTTAAGCTTAACATCGTACGAAAATGAAGGGATTATTTACCTGAAGATTTTGGCAAATGACGTTTAACAAATTCCACAGCATTACGGATGCTCTTCTGATCCGTGACGTCAAGTTGCAGAACACGGAGTCGTGATGACGTATGTTTCTTCAGTTCTGTTCCACCCTTCTCGGTTAAACATGCTGCAAACACTGGAACACCCTGTTTATCCAGTAAACGGGCTAACGCATTTCCGAAACCAGAATCACACCCCGTTATGAGGACGTAGCGATTATTTTTGTTCTCAACTGAAGTTTTCCCTTTGTGGAATTCATAAACTTTATATACAACATAAAGAACGACGAAAAGTGCCAATATCAGGCAACACATGTTGACATTAAATGAACGTCATTGATAAGCATTTCTTCACATGAAACCAGATAACAGAGCCATATCGAGCGTATCGCTTCAATCGAGTCAAGGGATATAGGGACTTCAATCGGTCCTTTGAATATTTTATTATTCTCCCCCTCCCCATATAAGTACAATTAATTCTTTCGTATGGGTCGGGGGTATATTTTACCAGTGGAATGATTTAGAAATAAATATTCTTACCGACAACTTTTATAAAAGACTGTGTTTAAATATAATACATCTATTTAAACATCCACAAGTATTAAAAAAGTACATCCATGTACATTTCATTTTATTAGTAAATTATTTCAATCCGGAATAAAGGTAAGTATTCACCCCTTTTACCTTTTTGCTCAAGCAATATTATTCTGAAGGATATCAATCTTTTGTTTAAAAAGTTACAAAACTAAGCATTTATAAAAATTGTTGGGACTTCTGATCAAAGACATTTTTAATATTCATTCATCAAAAGAGTATTCAAAGATCATGTACTGCCTAGAAAAGCTAAAGCACAAAAGACAGAAAATATCGAGGTTTTAATAAATTTAATGGTTATACATTGATAAACAGTCTTCTACTCTCTGTGGTCGACTAATGGATGGTCAGTAAGGTGGACGGCGTTGTCAAGGTAACTAGATAAATGTTCTCATCTATGCTCTTTCAACACATGATCGTGGGGATTGGAGGACGCGATGGACATTAATGCACCAAGATTGGTCAAGGTTTCTCCAGGACACCCGTCTTCGACTAATGATTTTGAAGAGTTCGGTTCGTGTGTTTGAGTTCTTGATTTGAGGACTACCAAGCTATTTTTATCTTTCTTTAAACATTGTAAAGATATTTCATTTAGTTCGTCTGATTCATTTCCTTTTACCACCTGACCTCCTCTACATATAGGTTCTCCTGCAACAAGAAAAATGTGAACATAAATTTAACTGACTCATCAAAACCAATGCACCAAGGCAATACTTATATTTTTCAGAGAAACACAAAAATTACTTACTCTTTCTATTGACATTTTCAGTATAGCAAACTTCTTCGGATTCGGCGCTACAATTATTTGAATACAAAAAACAAACAAAACAAATTTTGTCTTTCTTTAATCTTCTCAAATGTAAATTTCATATACGATCAAACATTGATTTGTTATCAGAATGATTTCTGAAGGATATATAAACATGCATAAAAAAGGTTAGGTTCAAACTGTCAATAGAATGAGTGTTCATTTCATGCAGTAACATTTTAAAAAAATATATATTTTCTATAGCTAGCATGTTATATGATTATATCAGTTAGAGTGGTGTCACGTGGACCCAGTGTGCTGTGCGGGTCCTGGGGCTCTGGTTTCAGGACACCATTCTTGCCAAACAGAACATCTAGAGACCCACTACTCTCTGTGGGTTTTACTCCTCCTCTGCTGGGCATTCTCGAGTTCATACCGGTTTTGTCCTTCCCAAAATTGGACACCTCCTCATTCGGAGCCCTTTTGGCCTCGTCCGAAGGAAGAATTGTTTTTTCTCGTTTCCCTAGTCCTTCTGGTGGTTGATCTGGAAAAGTAACCCTCTTCTCAGGCTTAACACTTTCGGAATTTTCACCCATTTCTTTATCAGGCTTATTTTTCATATCCTCTTTACTTATCACTCCATTAGGTTGATTCGTCTTCAAAACATTCGCCTCGTTTTCGGTAAGGTCAAACACGGTGACTGTTCCATTCGGTATGTTCTTCTCTTCCTTGTGTTCTGTTTTATCTACTTTATCTGCTTTATCTTTCTTTACTTTATCTCCATTTGTTTCATCTATTTCTGGCACTTTTTGTTCCTTGCTTTCCTTATCAGCATCTACATCTTGCAATTCGCTGTCAATTGTCACCAGTATTTCCGGTTGTGGAACCGCCTTGTTGTCATCCATTTTCTTGTTGTCTGTGTTACTGGATATATCATCACTAGATGTGCTACTGTTGGTGTTATTATGACCACTATCAGTGGACCTGTTGTTGTTATTAAGACTATTATCAGTGGACCCGTTATTTTTATTGCTGAGATTCTTATCTTTGGTTTTGCTGCTGTTGTGGTTCGTATTGACCAAAGGTTCCGGCATTTTCTTCAGACTGCCAACCGTTCCAACAGTAATCAAAGGATTGATTTTTCTCTCTAAAATGACACATAATAAAATAATGTTCTCTGATTTAGTGCTCTTTACCTCTGCATATTTCTGACGTAATTTAAATTATAAATATTGTTGATGAATATCATAAAATAAAATTTTCAAGAAAATATTTAATATACTTCGACATTAAGATATATTATATCAAAATTTATAAAGCACTAAATAAACCTACTGTAAAACAGCATTTTATAAATACAGACCATCCAATAGGTGAACCTAGGCATTGACCTGAATATTATTAAAGTAAATTCTGCTCTGCTTATGTTCTCCTATTGTTTGATGATTTCAGCAATTAACTTAAGAAGAGACAGGACACCATTGATGTCCCAAAAATAAAAAAAATTTAACTATATTCAAATAAAGGAATAAATCACTATTTATAGATTTGATTCTTACTGGTGAAAAGTTTTTCCTCTTGCTTCTTTTTGAAATATCTATACCCCAGTACTGCCCCTATAATGATTGCTATAACTAATACCGTCACCACCACGCCCGCCACAATGGCGGCTGTGTTGTCCGAATCTTCTGGCGAACTCGGTGTCTCTATGTCTATGGTTTTAAAAAGCAAAGATTACAGTACATGCATGCATAAATGATAATCTGTAATTAGTAAAGTATTAAGGTTTTTATATCCTTATACTTAATAAGAAATATAGTTTTTACTTACAACAGGTCGCTGTAAACATAAAATGTATTTTTCATTAGAAACTTCAGCAAAATGATAGTTTAGAATAAAAATGAATATCCCATATACATAAATGGTTCAGTCAAAGTAATACTCGCTCTCGAAAAACAACACAGAAATCATTTAATTAACCATTAGTTAGAATAATTTGAAATATTGTACTTTTTGGAGATAAAAACTAAGCATTACATATTACTTGAATGTTTTCTTTCAAAAAAAAACTTGCATAGGGTGTCTTCTTTCATTAAAAGACACGGCCATTCCCTTTGTTCATTTCAAATCAGATCATGTTTAAAAATATTTTTAAATAGATCAAAAGAATTTTGTCACATTCAGTAATTGTATCTCGGAACGGATTTAAACCTATGGTCATGAGAAAATATTCTGTAACGTGTAAAACAAAATGAACGACATCCTTACTATTGGCTACAAAATAAAGCAGACTTCCCGGGGCACTCGGTTTGATAATATATAATAATAATAATAATAATAATAATACTTTATTTTAAGAGGGTGACCCGATTAGTGCAAGGCACTAGTCTTCCTCGGGGCCCTCTAAGCATGTTCACAATAATACAATAATGAAATCATTGTACAATAATAAATAATACGACAAGACGTAAAAATACAAGTACATATAGATTTCAGGAGATTTTAGTTGCGGCATGTTATTATGAATTTTTCTACATTTTTACGAAATGTGTGTAAATTCTGTGAAAAACGTATGTACAAAGGTAGTTTGTTCCATAAATGAACACCGGAATAATGAAAAGAATTTTTAAATTGATTTGTTCGATATTTCGGTAGATGAAGGTCATAGTTTGTTTCAGATCGTAGAGCATAACTACTAGAAGAAATAAATTCAAAAGAGTCTCTTAAATAAGTAGGTGCCATACCATGAAGTGTTTTGTACAGTAATATATATTTATGAAAATCAATCAACTCGTAAATAGTCAGCCATCCAAGTTTTTCGAATAATGGTAGTGAAGGGGCATCATAAGCCACATCTAGTATAATACGGGCTGCCCTTTTTTGCAATTTGGTAGCTGTTTGACCAGAATCACAGTTCTCTCCCTTTTCTGATGCTGTGACATTTTCCCCATCAAATTCAATCACCTAAAATGTTAAAATATCTTCTTAAAATTGACAGTTGGTGATTGACAAGAATTGCAGAAGCATTTGAAAAATATCAAGTTCCAAATGAAAAATAATCAAGCTCTAAAGTAAAATAAAACCACATACAAAACAAGTGAATCTGTAAGCTCTTGGGGATACAGTAAGAGTGGTATCAAAGTTGATGACACTCTGGTAATATGTGCTGCCATTGTTGAGGGTAGCGACACAACCCACATGTCCTCCCGCTGTAAAAAGAATAAATAGATATATAACATGCTTTATTTTCTTCACTGTGCAATTGTTTTCAAATCCTTTATCAGAAAGATGACAGCAATTCGAATGAAAGAACGCGGGACATTGGTGGTCACTATCTTTGAACAGGAGTCTCTACAGAAGTTTACCATTTTTGATAAGTCAACCAAATTGACTTAGTGTCATTTCATTTAAGCGAATTGCAGCCAAAATAAAAACACGAGTTAAAACTAGTAGCAAGCAATGTGTACATTGTGGACTCATAAAATCTATGATAAAAGGTTGTGTCTTGTTTCTGTGAGAAAGTACAAGGTAATTTAATCGAGTCACGTGATGTAAAATAGTTATAAACTTTATAACGAAAAAATATATAGAAACATCTCCTGATTTATCTGCATGTATTTGTGAAGCTTAAAGATTGCACTTCTAGAATATATTATATCTTTCAACAGAGCCGAACACAGCAGTAAATCAAAATTGTTAAGAAAGGTCGGAAAAACAACAAACTTCATCAATAATACTTAGGATACTTTTTGGTTGACAATCTGGCCGAAAATGAAAGATTCTGAATTGTCCATAAAACTAGCTATTGAATTTGTGATTACAAGTATCTAAACTTCCTGAACATAACAAAAGATACCAGAGAAAGCCACTCTGGTGTTGCATAGACTGTAATCAAAGACCATGTTGGTTCTGTTGTTGTTACAGACGTCTAGGAGGGAGTCGCCCCAATTCAGGCCACACTCAGCTGAGGAGGAAGTGTGAATGTAAGTGAACACCCCCAAGAATGGCTTAGCGCAGTACGACATGGCCTCAGATTCAGAACCTACAGAAAATACAGTAGTGAAAAATGTAGAAAAGGGTACTATTAAATATGACTGTATACATGGTGAACGTTTATTTCTTTTATAATCGTATCATTGAGATTTAAATGTACTGATACAATAATCAAAATATATTTACTTCCACTTAAGAATTAATATATATCTATATAATCTGTTATCATGCGTCAATACGATGATTTTTTTCAACTCGACATTTAGATATATCGAGGACGTACTGTCCATTTTTCCATTCCTATGTCGATACGATCCCTGTGAGCTTGAGATACTGTATAAAAGGAAATTTTTGCCCCGTTTTATTTTCGCTCCTTTCGACCTTACCTCAGTTGGGCCATTTTAAACAGGGGTGATTTCAAAGAATACTGCTAAAATTTCTTTTAACAAAACCATGACTGGTGCAAAACTGTTTGTAAGGGCGAAAGGGGCGAAAATAAAACGGGAGCGAAAATTTCCCTGTATACAATAATAGATACCACATAAGCTGACACATGAGCCTGATGAGTCGTTATGTAGTGTATATTTGCATCTGCACTCTTAACTATCTCTTTTGTTATATACTAGTAGTTTTAAACTGAATATAATTTCCCCCTAAAATGAGGGTGTTGTGTTTCTTTTGACTGGCAGTATATGTTTCATATTAGGATATTTATCTGACAACAAAGCCTAATGATAAACGTGATGACTTAAACTTTTTAATAGTCAAATTCACTTACTTATGCAGACATTTCTTCATCACCTGCATACAGTATTTATATCTCTCAGCTGTTTCGATACGCAAGAGCATGATTTACGTATGTACATTTGTAAAACGAGGTAAATTATTGACAATAAAGATGACGAAACAAAAATATCAGCGACTTGTTTGAAGTCCTTTCGTAAGTTCTATGGTCGATACAATCACTGACAATGACTTTTTCAGCAAATACAATCTATCGCTGTCAAATGCTGACTGATGTTTTAAAACTAATTGTTAGACCATAATTTACACTCTTAATTTTCGAGTGATTTTTCCGTTATTCCCGGCCATGACAAGGGGCACACGGCGGGTTGACCGGTCAGCAAGAGATGCTCATTCCTCCAGGTACCTGATCCCATCTCTTATGTTTTGGAGGTTTGTGTTTGCTCTGCTCCAATTTTGTAATGTTTAATTAACGTTTGCGTTTGAATACTGTTTGTTATCTCCGCAAACATCATGGAGATGTTGTTTATAATCTTGTACGTCTTCCCATAGTGGGTGCACAAGAGAAACTTAAGCCCTGCGAAATGTGCGGTTTTAAACTTACCGGTCCTTTGGTGACTTTATCGTCGTATGGATTTAAAAAATTACAATCATTGTTTTATAACATGCACAATAATGAAATGGTGCAAACTCATTTAGCAATCCATCCCATTTTTTTTTTTGTTTACATTTGCTGAATCGGGGTAGGTTTTTTTCTGCATCCGCTGCAACCGTTAATTTCTGTACAAACTAAGAATGCATTTCATTATTTAAACATTTTACCTTCCTTGACAAAGACATGGAAAAGCTCGATAGGCTGCCCAGTTTGACAGACATCTGTATACACCATGTACAGTCCTGTCCCGAAATTGTTTTCTGAAATGTGGAGAATCTTAATATAATTGAAATGTAAAATAAGGACATTTCTTGATACATTATAGCTTTATAAAAAACAAGAGGTCCAGGGGCCACATCGCTCACCTGAGTACTGTGGTTAGGAGAAAAAGCAAAAATCAGTTTAGTATTGATAAGCTTAAATACACGAGTGGTCCAAACCTTTCCCTAAAAGGCAGAAAGGGTTAGGAGGAGTGGGTACAATATGAACAAAATTGAATCTACAGAGCTTTCAAATAAATATGACAAATCTTGGCTTTGCTGTTCTAGAGATGTTTTTCCTATATACTCCTATGTTAAACTGTGATCATCCATTGTGCCTCCACCCTACCTAGGGAGTCATGATTTTGAACAAAGTAGAATCTACACGTCCTCTGGATGCTTTCACATAAATATGAACAATCATGGCTTTGGCGTTCTTAAGAAGAATATTTTTAAAGATTGTTCCGATATACTCCCATGCTTAACTTTCATTGTCCATTGTGGCCCCAACCTACCCCAGGGGTCATAATTTGAACAATCTTGAATCTATACCACCTGAGGATACTTCAATATAAATATGACGAACTATGGCTTTGATGTTCTCAAGACTTTTCCTATATACTCCTATGTCAAACTTTGTTCATCAATTGTGGCCCCACCCCTTTCCCAGGGGGTCATGATTTGAACAAACTTGAATTTACACGACCTGAGGATACTTCCATATAAATATTACCAATCATGGCTTTGCTGTTCTTGAGAAGAAGACTTAGAAGAGGCCCTGGGCCTTGAGAAGTGAGTCATAAGTTTTAAGAACTTGTGCCAAATCCCTTTGTAGTTAGAAATTCCAATAAAATATGTTCAAACCAAGAAGTTTTTCAAGACTTTCCCTATATTTACCTATGTAAAACTTTGAGCAGCCATTGTGGCCCCGCCCTACCCCCGAGAGTCATGATTTGATCAAACTTGAATCTACACTACCTGAAGGTACTTCCACGTGAGTTTCATCTTTCCTGGTCAAGTTGTTCTTGAGAAGAAGATTTTTAAAAGATGCCTTTTTTTTTTTGAAAGCGAGAGTGGCCCTTTTCAACCAAGAATACTTTGTGTTAAGTTTGGTTGAAATTGGCCCAGTGGTTCTTGAGAATGAGATGAAAATGTGAAAAGTTTATGTCGACAACAACAACGACAACGACTACAACAACGAAAAAAGACAAAGGACAAATTAAAATCCCTTAAGGCAATTAGCCGAAGATAATATAAGAATAAATCTGTAAAGAAATATGTTTTTATAATCTTTGCATGTTTTCTTTAAATCTAAGTCAGAAAAATTATTTATGTAGACCCTCAAAAAATTCAAACAAGATGAACAAGGACCAGATCACACACAGTATTGAAAAGTTTAAATATACTTGTAAAAGTAGGTTAAGGGGAAGGAGGGGGGAGGGGGTATTTGACCAAACTTAAATCTTTCTTTTCTATGGATGCTTTTAAATTAACATTACACATAATGGCTTTGCTATTTATAAGATGAAAATTTTTTATTGATATAACCTTTCCTTTGTGTATCTATGATCTACTTTAAGGGATTCTCTATTCTCCTAGTTGGTCATGATTTGAACAAATTTAAATCTACATGACCTTTTTCAATGCTTTTTTATTGATGATCAATAATAGCTATGTTGTTCTAGTGAAGAATTTTCATGATTTTTCCTAAGTATTCCTACAATAAACCATGATCATCGATTGTGGCCCCACTCAACTCCCGCGGGTCATGATTTGAACAAACATGAATTTACACTACCCGAGGATGCTTCCATATAAATAAGATATATGAACAATGAGAGTTTTGCTGTTCTCGTCGAGAGGAATTTTAAAGAATTATTCTATGTAATCCTTCTTAAAACTTTGATCACCCATTATGACCCAACCTTGCCCCAGGAGTCGTGATTTGAATTACACTTGAATCTACACTACAAGAGGATGCTTCAGTTTAACTATGACCAATCATTACTTTGTTGTTCTTGAGAAAATTTTTTTTTCAAAGACTTTCCGATGTATTCCTATGTTGAACTTTGATCCCCAATTGTGGCCCCACCCTACCCTTGGGGGTCATAATTTGTATAAACTTGAATCTATGCTATCTGAGGATGCTTTAATATAACTTTGGCCAATTATGGATTTGCTGTTCTTCAGAAGAATATTTTTAAAGATTTCCCCTTTGTATTCCTTTGTTAAACTTTGATCACCCATTGTGTGGGTCATGATTTGAAAAAAAAACTTAAATCTGCTCTACCTGAGGATGCCTCCACATGTGTTTCATCTTTACTGGCCCTGCAGTTCTTGAGAAGAAGATTTTAAAAATACTTTTTAAAGATTTTCCCTGAGGATGCTTCCACATGAGTTTCATCTTTCCTGGCCCAGTGGTTCTTGAGAAGAAGATTTTAAAAATGTTACATTACTTTTTCACTAATTCATTATTATTTCCCCTTGGAAGAGGGTGTGGCCCTTCCTTCAAACAAATTTGAATCCCCTTCACGCAAGGATACTTCGTTTTAATTTTGGTTGAAACCGGCCCAGTGGTTCTTGAGAAGATGATGAAAATGTGGAAAGTTTACAACAACGACAACGACGAAAGACAACGGACAAATTTTGATCAGAAAAGCTTATGTGAGCCTTCGTCTCAGGTGAGCTAAAGTAAAAACATACCTCTTGAATTATAATAGTAGTAAGAATATGTAGTTATCGACGTCAGCTCCAAACACAGATACCAGTAGTAAGTAGTCCCACCTGCATTACTGTATGTATTGGCAGTCCTTGAATTTTTAAAATAAGTTTCAGGTTATTTCACAGTTTACTTTAGCCAATAACTAGTACTGTGAATCTGATACTAGTTATGTGCAGTGTTGTATAGTTTCTGATAAAAGTAATTTTCTTTATGTCGACATAATTAAAATAATATATTCTTAGTATATATAGACACCTGTACGTCAGGAAAATTCACAAATACTGACTCTACGAATTTCACATTTGAATTTTTCTTATCTTTTTTATTAAACAGGAATATTGTGGTAATTAACGGATTAAGATCTTTAATCCTTTTCAAATGGTATGGTAGGTTGAGTTAAAAAAGAAAAAAAAAATGTGCATAAACTTAATATCACTATTTAACTTTTGACAAAAGAAGTAAAATTATCAGGTTTGTTACTGATTGTTCAAAGAATTTTATCGCCTTAATCAATAACATACATGAAGAAGCGGTTATACCATCTATGATCTTACCTTAAAACGTAGTAACTTCCTGAAGTAAAATCACAGGTAAAATTTGAAGGTGTGACTGAGAAGCCGTCCGCTACAATATCATACTGTGATAAGTACATGATGGTGTCCGTAAATTCTGCATTTCCAAAATTACTGCTGATCCAAGTACCCCGTAAAGTATCCGGAAATGTACAGGCGCCATCTTTCAATTTTAATAATTGTGAAAAAACAATAAAATGCCAAAAATTGCAAAAAGACAAAATTTTATGATTAGATGACATATTTCATAGAAAGTTATCTTCTGTGTAAAGAAAGGTAAAATCTTTAATAAATATTTAAATCATTTAACCTTTTTTTATAATCTTTGTTTGCTTACCTCCAGTGCGTTGAAAAGAGGTGAAAATAATTTTCAATGTTATCCAAAATATTAATTTTAACATTTTATCCAAAGAACACATTCGTTAGACTTAATTCTGATTTTGTTTCGTAACACATGGTTCAGTCTTGTAATTTAATTCTTATCTGTTAAAATGTGTTAAGAAAGTGGAAGACTAGCTTTGTATGTAACTAAACCACGATTTACACCCTTCACTTATTCTTTTATTTTGTTCAAACCTTTCATTACCATTAGGGAGGTTTCGTAATACAGACGTGATTTACACCGTACAATAGATTCCTATATACTAGTATTATACTTCATTAGTAGTTAGAAAATCCACCTATAGTGATTGTAATAAAACTGTGAATGAAACAAAATAATATAAATTAAATACTAGTATAGTTCAAATTTTTGGAAATCGTTGAGATAAAGTAACCGATCAATAACAAAATTTTTAATGCGTTTCCATATTATGGAACTTCATCCTTTGGAATGGTCTTGACACAGGTAATGCATGTGTGAAATACGAAAATCCTAGGCTACCTTCTCTCATTCAAAAAGTAAGAATAAGATTTTAAGTTTTTTTATACAATTGCAAAAGGTAGATATCATTTAAATGTACTAAATCAAACTGTTTAATTTTTGTCAGAGAAGTAATAAACAGCTTTTCATTAGAAAGACAGAGGAGAAAAATGAAGGCATCATAAAGATAAAAAATAATAAGAGAAAAAAAATGGAATTTAAACCATTTTAAAAAAAGAACTATTAAACTAAACTATGGAAAGAAAGAAAGAGCTCTAACTTACTAATTTATACTAATTTAAATAAAGCCAGAAGAGAAAACAAGAGTGCTAGATCCCAAAAAATAATAAGGGAAAGGAAGAAGAAAGATAGAATGTAAAAAAAAATCCTTAATTACAGAAAAAAATAACTATATGATGAAAGAAAGTAATAAAAAGTTCTAAATTTAATAAAAGAAACTGATGAGATAAATTGTGCTTCATTTTGACCCCCCCCCCCCCCAAATCAAAACATTCAGTTAAAAAAAAACAAGAAACTAAAACATGAGAGGAACAATTAATTGAATCTATTTTTTAAATGAAACATATGGAGATAACGAACAGTATTCAATATCCAAGTCCATAAAACAGTACAAAATAGGAGTATATTTAGATTTTGCCCCAAAAGAAAGAAAATGACTTACATTAAAGAAATATTTTCTTAAAAATGTGTTTCAACAAGAACGTTTTGTAATTGAAAATATTTGTGAGAGTGACTTCTTTAACTTTCAAAAGAAGTCAAACTAAACTTTTCTATGTTCTTAACCAGAATATTGTACAGAAGGGATTTTATAACCTCCGAGATTTCTCCTATAATTTTGTTCCTCATAAAAAAAGAGAGAAAACATCATGCATACCCCACATATGGGGGCGCGAAATGGTGACATCCGGGGGTGCGGAATTCGAAGCGGAATTTGCAATGTTCGTTGACCTGATTAGCTTTCCTACAGTGATTGCGATGAAAATAATCCTAAGTTCACTTAAGGCGGAACACAGTGATATCCCAGCTTTTACTCGTTTCCCAGCTCGGGATTCGTCCTAGAAATACATGAACACCTCTGCAATACCTGGCAAGAGCATTAGGGAACGCAAATTAGACCATTTCTTTGTGAAAATTGGTGCCTTATGTATCATTCAGAGAATTCCACCTCAAATAAAGGGGACAGACTTCAATTTAAGCGTGTGGCACTCGGGAGGGGGGGGGTAGAGATTTTAGTGGAGGCTGGGGGAGGAATAAATCTCTAACTAATGGAAATGAATTGTTTCTACAAAAATTATTTTGTTTAAACTGTTTACTAAACATCTATTTGTATATTTCGACATAATTAAATTTTAGTTGTAACATGTCATTTCATTGGATAAAAGATTTAATTCATATTGTATTGCATTACTTGGATACGTCACAATGAGCTATACGTCAATATACACTTATCCACTGGGTGTGAGTGGGATAGCTCTTTTATCAAACCCGCGACAGAGAACTATTCCCCGAGGGCTTGCCCGAGGGGAATAGTTCCTGCCAAAGAAATTCAAACCTCAGAAATTAAATTATACATCAGTATAATAAAACGCTTATCCACTGGGTGTGAGTGGGATAGCTCTTTTATCAAACCCTTGACAGGAACTATTCCCCTCGGGCAAGCCCTCGGGGAATAGTTCTCTGTCGCGGGTTTGATAAAAGAGCTATCCCACTCACACCCAGTGGATAAGTGTATAATATACTCCGCTTGACGTTAATTTTAAATATTAGTTCAGTTTGAAGTCATTTTTGGAAGAAAAATTGTCTCTTAGTCTACAATGAAATCGAATTATAAGGAATGAAGCTTATTTTATCCTATGTCATATACGATACATCATCATGTATATGCATAACTTGGTCCAAGTTACGTTTTATCGTATATCATAGGTTAAGATAAGCTTCATTCCTTGAATATACTTAGGATATACATATCATTCATTTACAGTAAACAGACACTTGAGCAATAGTTTAGAGTACATATTACATATATACTAATTGATAGTCCATTATTTATACACTGAATTGAAGGCGGATTTTCCCATTATTTCCCGATCATGACAAGGAACATACGGTTCGTGTGACCGGTCGACAGGGGATGCTCACTCTTACATGGCACCTGATCCCACCCACGATGTGTAGGAGGTCCGTGTTTGCTCTGCTCCTGTTCTTTATTGTTTTATGGACTTTTGATCTTGAATGCTATTTGTTATCTCCATATGTTTCATGTATGTAGAATTTATTTAGAATTTTAAATATGCGTGTTCATACAGTGAAGTTAAATATACTGACTGTTGAAAGGAGATGGGCTTGCAAAGCGTTCAGAATGCCCATAGATTCAGATATATAAAAATCATATTCAATCTGTGAAAATAAAATTTTGAGTAAGATTTTGCATTATTCAGGTCCAGTCCAAAGAATATTTCTACCTATGCAGCTATTAATAGCTACTTAGGTATTTAAACCTACTTAAAGTAGCTATTTTACCTACTTTTTGTATTATCTGCATTGTGTGGCCAAAAGACCGAACGGCGCAACATGGTGAATACCATATATTTCCATTTCCAATTGTTTTCCCTATGATAAACACTCAAAAGTGAATCTTGTTAATTTCTCCGTGATTCCTGTGGCATGTAAATTTCTCTATTGAAATACTACTGAAAGGTCAAATGTCAAACTTGCATGTATATGAATGGCGTATAAATACACTGCAGAAGAAAAAGATGCTTTGTTTAATTGTTTACCAAGTAATTAGATTATGATATATCTTTTTACAAACAAAATAAATAATGAATTATCTTCGGATCAAAAGCAAGTCACTAGCGCAACGCTGTCCATTATCACCGAGGCCTCGCGAGACCGAGAACTACACTTCCGTAAACATAGTAAACAGCCCATCTGAACCACGTGGAGAAATCGGCACACATAGATCTATACTCCATCATCCGATACAGACATCGTCTCTCAGTCATTACCATCCAACTTCTTATGCAATTCAAAGTCCTCTTTTACTAGTATTTTAACACACATAGTTCGGTTTCTTGACCATGCTGACCAACTCCCGTTTCACCAACTGCAACATTGCATTCAGTATGGCGACGGAGAAGTGACCTGGAGCCTATATACGTGTTCGTGCTTCCGACGATCTAAATGTAGGTCACATATATAATTAAAGTTAGCAAGATTGCTTTGATCATAATATAAAATTCTTTTCTTGTTTATTTTATAATTGTTTATATTTGACTGCAGTATAACTAAATAATCAATAAATTTGTTTCGTGTTTGTATGGGACTATTTTTTTATAGTAAAATTTGACGTCATGGGGCGGGGCAATGGAAAATAACATGGAATGCCTCGTGCATTTCAAATCTACTCAATTAGACGGTATTTCAATTTATTTTTAGATTGTTATTTCAAGTAAAAATGGAAATATAAGGAATCACTGTCTAGTTAGGAGGGTATGCCAGGGACATCAACAATATAGTGGGAAACTTGGGATAAATTATCCATGTTTCCCACTATTGTTGATGCCCTGGCAT